GGTCTTCCTGCCAATATGACCAAGTTGCGAAAGCAAGGTCAAACAACGCCTATACAACGAAAGGAGACTGCGACCATGCAAAAGACCACACCATCGTGGTCTTCATACCTTTGAATGTACAATTAAGTTCACTTAATTGGTGAATGTTTCCCTTTTTGCAATGGCCTAATATAAAACGAATGAATGGATCTAATTAAGTAGACTGGCTTACCAATTATGAACATTATATTATCAATTCGATTTTGCTTAGATCCCCAACTATTAATTTTGCTGATAATTCGGATTAGAAGGAGCAGGGAAGACAGTACAACAGACATTATTTTTCGAGATAGCTTTGGACTCTCGGTAGAGCCAATATAGGCTGAAACAAGTAGATGAAAATTTTCATTTTAAGCATTTTCCCCACTGTGCGCTTATCCATTTGGAAAATACTTTTTTCTTGGATGATTTTTTCACGAAACAAAGCGTGCTTTTCGTCAAACAATCAAGATATACTATTTATTGGAAAATAGGGGCCTCTACGTTTAAAACTGGTGGGCTCTAGGCAGTACTGGGAAAAATTGCGTATTGGTGACTCTACAAATATATCCACTTGTAACCCGGCTTCTCATAAGATCTATCTTGTGTCGAAAAATCGGATGATGAACCTGCCTTTGGGTAAACTAGTAGCATAAAGCAGTAATTTTTCATAGTAAAGTTTGAAGACTTAAATGCTTTTTTCTTTTTGCTTACCAAGAATAAGGAAGCTAGTTGGGCATATGTTTTGATTTTGCGAGTCTGGTTTTTGAAGCCTCTCGAGCGGTCTATAAATCCTTGCTTTCCCTTAGCTAGAGACAATTTATGTTAGAGCATTTTTACGAGTATCTCCTTCCACTTGTCTCGAAGCGAAGGGTGGGAGCCACAGCATCTTTCTTTGCAAAAGTGTTCAGCCAGGAGTATGGACCCTCCGCAAAGGCGAATAGAAGCATAAAAATCAAAGTCACTGATTTCTTTGACAAGACCTTGATCAGAAAGTGGAAGACACCATCAAGGTGTGATTAGCGACGCTTGATAAACAGCGGACTTGAGTATGAATTGGTCTATCCCTGTGTACTCAAAGTGTAACTGATTTTCAATGCAGCTCCGGGAATATCACTGTACTTAGGCGTTCCATCTTGTATTTACGCACACACATACAGATACATGCATGCATGCATACATACATATACATATATATGTATTATTTTGTTTTGGCTGCAAATTCTTGGTGTGGCCAGAAGATGAGGATGGATTCCACTTAATTTGCAGTTTTTAAATAATTAATGGGTTGTCATGCTGAGACTGCTTAGGCTGCTTAGGTCCTCAAGACACCTTTCTTCGGGTCCGGTAAAAGCGTGCACAACTTTCACCTGTCCTGCCAGATGACAGCAGCTGAATGTCATTCTAACTAAACTTCTTTGCTTAGTGCAAGCCTGTGATTGCTATAGGAATGAGTTCCGGCTCTGAGAATTTCTTGCATTTGACATTGCATACGAAAGCTAAACACATTTCACCACAACCAAAGAAGAGTGTCCCAAGGACTATGGCAATCATAAAATCCCATACAAATTAAATGGCAGCAGACTGCCGTCGTCTTGACATGAGGTCGACCTGCAACTCAGCTAACCACACGCTATCGACAAAATGAAATTCTGTCGAATTTTGGCCAATTCAGCAATTCGTTCTCACGCTAGAGGCATTTATTCTTGAGTACATTAGATTGAGAGAAGTTAACATTTTCGAATGAGGGGTTGCCTGTAAAAGGTTTGCTTAATATAATATTCAATTCGATGCAGATAGGGTTCCAAGGGTATGAAGAAGCTGCTGCAATTATTCAAAGAAGTTCGATATAAACAAGACTGTTGTCTAGAGCATTCCATCAGTCTTGAATAAGAACGTAGACATCCTAGGTCGCTTGAGGCAATGAGTGTTCTCACAATGAGATGAGTAGGCCGCAGGATGTCAATAAATTTCACCTAGTCTTGATTATCAAATAATATTTGCATCCAGTTTGGGTTTTATCCGCACCCTGGCAGGGATCGTCATGTTACCACTACGATTACCAGTCGGCCACATGGCAGAAATGAACTGCAAGGCAAGCCAGGCTCCTAACATATCATATTTTATAATGGGACTTTTGCTGAAACAAACATGCATTCCGATTAGATTGTCGGGAGGACTTTCAGGTTTCGATCGGAGTTGACAATGTTAATTGTATTGGTTTTGACTAGGATGTTGAATGGGAACGTTATTCATCCTAGGTCACTTAACGTGATGATGGACTGATTGGGAATTTTTTTTCAGTGAGATGACTAGGCCTCACGATGCCATTGAATTTACTTGGCCTCGTCGAAAGAGCAGTCTATCCTGGATGAGAATAGTTTTTGGGAAAGAAAGTTAAGTGAAATTGAATAATATTATGAGGTCTACTCGTCTCACTTTGGGAAAATTCATTATCCTTCTTTTATTACCAGAAGCTACCTAGGGAGACTGAAGCGCCTTTTCTTGATCGCATCCATAACACATTATTAATTATGGAGGAAGCAAATAAATTTCGTGGAGCCGAGTGGATGAATTCGCTCATGTTTATTCATACATACACACATACGCACACACACATATATATATATACAGACACAGACACACACACACAAACACATACGCATACCCTCCCGCCCTTTCCACTCCTAGACGTATTCTATCATGACACAAAGTCTGACTAAGCCCCATTGCCCCTAGACATTTAGCATTAAAGTATTAAAACATTTAAAAAACCCCTTAGGCTGACAAAAAAAACTTATCTTTAGAGAAATTTTAATTGCCTCTAAGCTCGGCAAGCCCTGGCAGAAACAGGAACTTGCAGAATATCGTCTCACTTTTTGCCCTAAATTTGACCCAAATCCCACTTTTGGACACCATATTAGCCTACTTGTTTCGGGCATATACAGTAGGCTTACTCACACCAGCCGAATTGCCTGCTCGTCAGGATGACTCAGATTGGACATAGCCAGTGCACTTTCTGAGGGTCTGACCAAAGTGCCTCTCGTAAACCATTCTTGTTTAGCCAGAGTACTTTGCACCTGCCCCTCAAGTAGGCGTCTCGACTGGCGTATCTCCTCTATCACATTTTCTGGCCCCCCAAGGTCCTTGATCTGTCAGAACAGGTGGTCTCCAGGTTGAATTGAGAACGTGGCCTGTGCTGTAAATTAAAGGTTAAATCTCTCGCTGTAGCTACGCCTCCAAAGTCCATGACCGGTCTCCATGCCGTCGCCAGCCTTGAAGCTTTTAGCCCCCACTTCTCTGACCTCTCGCATCCAAACCATGAGAAGCCTGACTGCTCTATTTGTCACCCTTATTCCTATACATAGCACATATTAATGCATACACGGACGTACGGGCACACGGAGGGAATGACATACTGACATGCTGACATATATACACACGGACAGCAGACATACAGACACAATTATATACTG